ACTATTTTCTCATCCGGGTTAATACTAAAAGTGCATACAATAGGCGCACGTGGGCTAAGGATCCTCAACTCTCTACGTGCAACTATAAGATAAATTTCTACTTGCAGCTAAAGTCAGTTATTATTGTCAGAATTCTTATAGCGTAAGTTTTGTTTACTTTGGAAAAAAGGAAGTGATGTCATTGTTGCGTAACTATTTTCTCATTCGGGTTAATACTAAAAGTACACAATCGAAAATAGGTCGGTAACCAGAGCTCTCGTAAATGTAGGTGCACTTTTGTTCTATACCTACTACTTATAAAAAAAAAATGAAATGCTATGTGTGGGTAAGGATATAACGTGAGATCGCTTGAAAGTTCTTGATTTTTTGTGCAATGTTATGTAACTACAACGTTAATAAACAAAGTTAATTAGAAAAAAAATGACAGGTATACAGGTAAATTTGGTAAAACTGGTAATTATATTTATTAATATTCAAACTCTATTGAAATCTTGATTGGACAACGTCTGTCTGGTCACCTGGTTATAAATAAAATATATGTATTTTCTCGTGCTCATATTTTATTGGTGAACGGAACATATGAAATTCAATAAGATTAATAGAATAAAATAAATTATAGCAGCTGCTTCTGAATACGCATTTGGAAACAGTATTTTACAAAAAATACCCAACAAAAACTGTACATGTGTCTTTGGATGTACAATTTAAATATCTTGGTTTTTTTATATATTTAACTGGCAGGCATCCCACAGCGTAACAAGCCTTATAACGAAAACAACTTCTTATGAAAAGAAAGTTTTTTTCCTAAAAATACCTACCTACAAAGAAATCGCCAATTAGCGAGTAAAATTTAAAAAAAATAATAGACTATGATCATTTACGATACAGCAGTAACAATAATTTAATTCGTTCAGAATTTTTGCATAATGTGGTTTTGAAATATAAGCACACACATGCCGAGGAGCACAGGGAGGAGTTGGTTAACGGTTCAAATTTGCATTATAAATGGTGGGTCTGAAGCGAGCAGTGTCACGATTGTCTTATAATTGAGATATCTAATTAAATGCTCGTAGTACTTCATATAACTACTAGTTGTTACCCGCGGCTCCGTATGTCGGTTTTCGCGGCAAAAAGTAGCCTATGTTACTCGATGATAATGTAGTTTGCTATTGGTGAATTTTTAAAATCGGTAATGGTTTAGGCGTAAGAGCGTAACACACGAATAAACAAACTATAACGTTTGTAATTTAGTTAGATTCGTCGCCAATTCACAGATTTCGATCATCGTCATCGACAGCCTTTACTAGTCCACTGCTGGACATAGGCCTCTCCTTAGAAAGGAGGTTTTGGCCTACTACACAACGCTGGCCAGACAGGTTGATATGGGGTTTGTGTCAAGTTTTCCTTCTCTCTGCAGTGCTGTTGTCCCGCGTAGTTTGCTCCCTTAGTCGCCTTTTACGACACCCACGGGATGAATAGGGGTGGTGACACTCTGTAGTCTTAATTATTACAGTTTTAGTTGGGTCTTAGTTTAGAGATATAATGAGATCAATTTTTAAGGTAGGTATAGTCTAAGGGCTAGATCGCAGTTTACGAAAAACTATATTTTCATGAGTCTGTGTACTTCTAGTTTTAAGGCCTCAGAAATGTCAGAGAGAGATACATTCTTAATGAATACATGTTTTTTGTTTTAAATTACTAGGTAAGAGTATATCTGCTGCGTTACTTTTAGTCATTTTTTGGCGTTTATTATTATCAAATAGGCAATTAAAAAATGTCTTTACACTGAACGTTTTTATAGATATTTTAACTCAGAGAAACCCGTAAAACAATAATAAAAAAGAGAAGAAAGATTTTCTAGAAGTTTTGTCTGTCTGTATGTTACGCAATTACGCAAAAACTACCGAACGGATCTATATGAAACTTCGCAGTGATTATTTAGAGATAACATTTGCAACGGATTTTATTTCCAAAAATCTCTGAGCTACCGGGGCCCGAAGTGTAGTTTAACTTTTGATTTTTGAAGTGAAAACTTCTTTAGCGGCGTTGTACACTTTTTTGTAATGGGTAAAAAATGTTAAACTCGCGTCAGGACACGTGACCTGATCGAAAATCCTGGCGTAGGAGAGGAAGTCTCCCCATCTCTTTCTACGGCGCGGCGAAAATGTATGCAGGCATACATTTTCGCCGCTGTTTCGTTTCGTTTAGGCGACGCAGGGCGCTTGCGCGAATGTTCGTGTGTGTTTATGTTACAGCGTGCCACGCGCATCCATGGATGGTGACATTGTCTCGATAAATTGTCATGTTTGTGTACGATAGCGCAATAAATAAATATTGTATTCTACCACATAAATGATAGTACTTTTATACTGATAATTAAAGCAATTCGTGCAAAATTATTCCCTAACCATTCTAAAGTATCAAAAATGCACAACGTTAATATTCAAGTTTTTCACTCCCGGAGTGCAACCCGTCGTTTTTTATTTTTGAGTTAGTTTTGAAAATGAGTTTAGAGGAACACAATTAGGTGAGGCCATCTATCAGGTGAGGCCATCTGTTTAGGTGAGGCCATCTGTCACCCTAGCAGAAGCAGGCCGGGGTGGCGACGAGCGCATTGCCAAGCGCGCTCGCTTCCAGGGAGCACAGGGAACATGGGGTTCCCACACGGGGGGGGGTCGTCTACTCGTCTGTAGATGACCCGAGGTATGTCGGGGCACCAGGGACTTCCTTTCTAGGGTATACCTGGTTCCCCGGCTATTAGTACCCGAGACGGCGTGCGGTTTTAGTCGGTTCGAGTCCGACATGCCACCGACAGGTGGTATCCGAGGGAATTTCCGCACGGAAAAAAAAGGCGAACACAATTACCTCCGACATGCCACCGATGGGTGGTATCCGAGGGGATGTCCCCACCAGCAGAGGGAACATGGGGTTCCCACACGGGGGGGGTCGTCTACCTGTTTGTTATAGATGGCCTGAGGTATGTCGGGGCACCAGGGACTTCCTTTCTAGGTATACCTGGTTCCCCGGCTATTAGTACCCGAGACGGCGTGCGGTTTTAGTCGGTTCGAGTCCGACATGCCACCGATAAGTGGTATCCGAGGGGATTTCCGCACGGAAAAAAAAGGGGATGTCCGCACGGGAAAAAAAAAGAAGGGGAACACAATTACAAATAGAGAAACACATATATCTTAGAATTGCAATATTTTACTTAAAACTAAAAAAAAATTAGTTCAATCTTTTTTGAATTATCGGTTATTTAGCAAAATTTTCGTAACCATTGATAGCCGAGTGGTCAAAGCGTTCAACTGCACTAAGGTAGGTGCGAGTTCAAGACCCACTGAGTCCTTGGGTTTCTGCTTTATTATTATGTATTTTTGTTATTTTTTCAAATATATTTCATTAATTACTTTTTTTTATTACAAGGTATTACGGTTGGTTATTGAAACAAATTATGGACATTCTGACATAAGCGTATTTTTAAAAATTATCTTTGTTTGAGCATTAATGCACAAACAAAATGATGATCCATTTTATTGTTCTGTAATGTCAAAGATAAAGATACCTTCAAGAACTTAAATATTTTGTGGAGATTTGTGGAAGTAGGAATTGAAATCGTTTTATTTGTGAATGTTATGTAATTTATGAATTCATGATTGTTTAGTTGACAATAGTTGATATAATATTTTCCCTGATTTTTGTGTCCCGGAATTAGTTCACTGTTGTGGTTACTGAAAATTTAAACCCCTCTTTATTCTTTGACATCTACGTCGAGTTTAGTTGTGCTGCTCACGTAGGTATTTTTAAAAAATTTCGTTTATAGCTGCAAAACATTACAATATAATAGATATAGGTACATTTCTATTAAATTGGAACTAATATTTTCTTATCCGTTGGTTGTTCTGGAAAGTGACTTGATATTACATTAAAAAATCTTTATTATTTAGAATATTGACAAAATACCTGTATAGATCCCAGTAATTTACTCAGTCCGATAAATACTAAAGCATTCAGATACAATGGTTGATTGTGGACATCATGTTCGATCTTAGTCATCACAGACTTCGTCTGACCGCTGATAGTCAACGTCATGCTGACTCTCGCGCTTTCGAGAGCTTCATGCAACGTGAGGAATGCCAGATCGCTGACACTCAACAGAAGATTTTTTATTTATTTTATTTATTTCTGCACTAATTACTTTGGTTTTTTTTCTTAGATACAGTTCACACTATAGTTATCGTTGCGCAAATTCATAACTTAAGAAACATTGCTCTTACTGTAATACTGCTAATAAAATTTTCAAAATACCGAAACAAGCAAAGCTGACGCTTTTCCTTTCAAACCACCTAGAAAGTAGGAGCCCCGCTAAGCGGGGCTAAGGCCCTTTTCTTCCAGTACGACATGTAGCCTCAAAAATCGTTATGTATGTTAACTTTAGTACATGTGTATAATGTGGTTAAAATTGTGATTATTTAATTTTTTTGGGCATAACCATGATTAGTTTGCGATTCATTTACTTAAATTGGATAGCAAAATGTGTTAAAATTTCACTTTAAAATGAGGTTTTAATTTAAGTGATCAAAAAGACCTATTTCTTAGCGTTCCATTGATTCACCGTGCGGGTGCCGTGTCTATCGCGTGTCAGATTAGGGCAACACATACGACTTCGACAGCGCCTGGGAATTGCGACCTAGGTAGGTAATTACTGAAATGAAGAAACATTTGGTGTAAATAATAGTGTATCTCAAATGTATCAAATTAGTACAAACTTTCATAATATTAAATATTCTTTTATTGTGAAACATGGTCATCCATTGTTGTGTCTGGCACAATCATAAATAATTATACAAACCTAAAGTGTATTACTGTACAATCATAATGAACTTAATGTGTGTTTTACACATACATATTTATTTACTCTTATAACACCACTTTGATTAAAGTCATAACACTTCCTGTTTCAGGTTTATGGTCAATAATATAGTAACTTCCTACTAAATTCCTTATGGACCGTGCAGTTTCTTCAATACTGATTCAATATCAATATTCTGTATATTAGTTGAATTAAACAAATACTGGGCCTCAGGTTTTGTTTTCTTAGTTTCATTTAAAGAATCCTCTGGGCTGCTACTTCTTTGCAATCGTTTCCTTTTTTTACTATCTTTTGTCTCCATTTTTTCTTCTTCAACAACTATTTCTATTTCAGTGGTTTTATGTATAATTGCTTTTGGGCTGCTTAATTTTAAGGGAGTGTCTAAACTCGTCAATGTTGAATCAAAGATTTCATAACATTGAGATCTGCGATCTTTGAGTGGAGTGTACAGTGTGTCTACATTTGAAATAGAGCATACAGCAATCTCTGTTTCTTTAAAACTATAACCAGTTTCTGCAGTTTGTGGAGGTACATCAAATAAGATATTTAAAGACGTTGCTCTTAATCTGATAGGTGCACCGTCCTCTATGCAAACCTCCATACACCACGCGTCTTTTAAAGTCACAGGGTTTCCTTGTGGAGTATCTTTGGACTCACTGGTACAAACTATATAATTATTGCTTTCTTCATTGCATTCATAAGTAGATAATTCAAAATCTTCTTCTTCTGCCACTTCTTCATCTTCTTGTAAATCAGTTGTAGTAAGACTTGTATCTACCCCAGGTTTTTTTTCAGCAGAACCTGCATCTTGCTCAATCTCAGGAATTTTAACATACACCTCACGACTTTGCTCCGAATCAGGGGTATCGAGCAAATCCCGCTCGATAATTTTTGCCGTTTCGGCGTCAAACCCTCTTTTGATTAAGTCCACCTGTAAAGTCCCTTTACCCTCAGTATGGGCAGTTTTAAGCTGCAGGGATGATTCGATATATTCTTTGATTTTGGAGATATCTTCACATTCGCTAACTTTGAGTTTAGAATCTTGTGAACCATCGTCAGACCAACGCAGCGCCAACTGTTCTGTGTCAGAGTCTTGACATTGGGAAGTGACAAAAGCCTGATCCTGAGTAACTGATTTAGCATTAATTACATTCTCTGGAGAGTCTACTGAACTTTCAGAATTAAACTGTTTAGTACAGTGTAATTTTCTGGGTGTAGATGATTTCCGTCGTGATTTTGTAGGGGCAGATGTGACTGCAGGAGTAATATGCACAGTTTTATCTTTGCCAGTTGTTTTCTTCTTAATTTGTGATTTTGGTGAATTTGTTAACGACACAACTGAATTTCTTTTTGCTCTTTTATTGTCTTTAGTCGGTGTCAGTCGCCTTGGCTTAATTTTCATGAAAGTGTTGGGTCTATCTTTTTTCATTGGAGATTTCCTCTTTTTATTGGAGTCTGTTTTCTTTTTGGATGAAGATTTCAAAAGTGATTTCAATTTATTTTCTTTGGGCGTTCTAGGAGTCTTCACATTTTCTTTACTATGTTCAAAGGAACTATTAATACTTGCCGTTTCACTACATGAAGAAACAATTTCCACTTTGTCATCTGTCACCTTGCCTTTTAGTGTTTGAGCTTTGTATGAAACATTCTTAGTACATTTTCTTACAGGTCTCGAATGTTTCTTACTGTCATTATTTATTTCTTTTGATAATTCAGTATTGGATACTTCTTTAGAAGAGGTTACGGGGCATTCTAAATCAGGGATTCTTAAATAATCTTGTTCATCAGGCTTATAATAAGAGCCTCCACTAGAATAATCTGTAGCACGCGATGAATAAGATGGTGTAGCTTGCATCGGTTTAGGTGTATCAAAAAATCGAGGCGTGGGGATGTTCATGATTTTAATGTCTGATATTGGTTCATCTGGTAGAACCGACCCCAGGAATTTTGGTGTTTCCATTTGAATATCATACAAGGCTTGTTTGTAGGGAGTTTCTAACAAGTCGGAAATATTTAATCTTATACCTATTTCATTTTGCAATGATATTCTTTCGGCTTCTGGAGTTTCACGAACTTCCTCGTTCGATTTGTTTTGAGTCTCATCCACTTTTGTGCTCTCTTGTGATGTGCTCAGTTTGTCGGCAGTCACAATATTAAAGGTAGGTTTAACTGTAACGTTAGTTTCATTAGCCTTTACCATATCATTATATTGTTCTTCTTCTTCCTCTAATTTTTTCCTCTTTGATTTCTTCTCTTTCGGCGAATTTTTCCTTTTGATCCGTACCTTCTTTGATTCTGAATTTACATCAGTTGCCTTTTCTTGACACACATTATTCTTTTCTGTTTTTTTCTTCGAATTCTTTTTGGGTTTTCTTACTACGGTTTGAGCACTTTTTTCATTAGCTATTGCTAGAGCACGGAGGTCAGCATCCCAATTACTTTTTTTAGGTTTATTGTCATTTGTGTTACTTATATGGCACGTTTCTATTTTGTGGACTTTAACGGAACTCATATCGATAATATTACTACGACATTCAGTTGTTTCCGGAAACACTATATTAGGGCTTCCGGTAACAATAACTTCAGCAGACTTAGCATTATTTTCCTGAGGGATTGTTTCATGTATAGTTTCATGTAATATTCTTCTAGGAGTAGCAAAATCTAAGACACGTATATGTGAATTTCTACGAGGTGTTGATGATGATTTCCTTAGAGGCGGTAGGACTTGTGGAGTATTTGTTTGAGTTGAATCTGATATGATATTGTCTTTTGGTACTGAAGAATTCTTTGTACTATCCACTGTTCTTACTAAACCAGTTTCAATTCCAGAGCTTTGTAGGCTTACGCCTGGCTGGCTTGAAGCTTCCTTATCTATAACGACTGGACTGGACGAAACATCAATGACAAGAGGCCCAAGCACGTTTTTTGATGATGTAGTTTTTGTTTTTACTTTCTTTTGTTTTTGTGATAGTACAGGCTGTCTTTGTGTCATTTGTGAAGGAGGAGCTGTAAAGAAAAAAACCATGTGACAAGTTTTCACATTGATAAGATATTTAACACAATTCAGTATGAAAAGTAATTACCTGATGTTGGAACAACAATAATTGTTGGCATGGCCATGATTTCATCTTTCGTGTAATTATCATTAGCTACAGGAAGTTTCTGTTTATAAGCTGGTGTACCATTGATGACAATTGTTTGCATTAATGGTGTTGAAGTGGCATTACTTAACGTCGGAAATGGACTGTCTACTTTAATGTCAGATATAATTTTAATTTTGTGATCATTAGACTTTGGTTTTATTCTAGGATACGAATAAGTGTTACTTGGTTGTATCCCTAAATGTTCATTAACATCTCTTGAAACATCACTTTGAGTGTTATTGGTATCCATTGAGTTTTCCTTATTTAGAGTCCTGAAAATATTAGGAATACTAAAAACAATGAACTAAGACATTTAGTAAATAAGTCATCATGAGTTTCTATTCAAGACAGAAACATTAATATAAACATAATGAAATACATACTGTCCATTGCTTGAGTTTTCAGACGTACTTGAATCAGGTACTGGGACATTCCTACTGTCACTACCTACAGCAAGATGAAAAGGAAATTGTTTATTAAAATTAGAATTATGTATAAATAGTAAGACATCTTTTGTTATTACCCACCACTAACTCCAGATGCAAAGTTTTGAAAAGTTGAATTTGATATCCTCCTGCTTAAGGATTCAGATTCGGGTACACTAAACATCCTTGTATCTTTCATTGATTTATTATTACACACTTTATTCAAAATATTATTGAACTCTTCAATCTTCTCTCTGCATTCTGGGGTATCGGCAGGTTTCACCTACAAGAAATTGATAAAACGTGGAAATTATCATATATATCAATAAATTAAAATGGCATTCCCATTTTAATTTTTTGGTTTTCAGAGGAGACAAAGGAAAATGAAAAATTGGGGTAAGATAAGATGTCCCTATGGCAGGGGCATACGCAGACTAATATACATCATACAAGTGAATTTGAGTATATATTTTTGTTGCATTTTAACGTTAACTAGTGATTTTTTTTTTTAAACATACAAATTGCTATAGGCAAAAATAAAATAGAACATTACGCCAGCGAAGCTACGGCATAAAAAGAGCAGTATAAATACTATGAAGCAGTGTCTGATTTTTAATGAAATCTTGATCAAATATGATAGTCTAAAATTCGCTGCCTATTTAGTCTTATTTTTTTTTAGTTTTCTTAATAGAACTTGTGTCAAGAAAACTAAGGAAATAAAAATTAGAAACTAGCGACTTTTAGGTGTACGTAATTGTTTATGGCCTGATAGCGTAGTTGTTACAAACATGAATTAATCTTATTATAAGCATAAAAATATACCTACTTCAACAATAATTGAATTCAATTTCAGCTTTAAATGTGAAAGTGAGTTTGTTTGTTTGTTACGCTTTTACGCTTAGACCACTAAACCGATTTAAAAAAATCTTTCACCAATGTAAAACTACAATATCAGGTAATGTTACATAGGCATTTTTAATATCCGGCATTCACGCATGCGGAGCAGCTTGCAAAAAATAGTAACAAATAAACGTGTCGGACAACTCCTTGCGAGTAATTTTCCACCAGAAATTGATATGAATGCATTTTATAAGTTAGCTTATAAGGAACGGTCCGCACAGCGATATTTCACCAGTTATAAATCGACACCATATCGCGTTCAATTTGCATCAAAACAGGTTTTTTTTTTGGGTGTATTTTTTCGTGAGAGCGGATAGTCGTATATAGATCCCATGTGTCACAGAATTTTGCAAAAAACGTGCGGTGAAATATCGCTGTACGGGCGGGCCCTAACAACTTTGCTAGTTTTTTTGTAACTTAATTACAGTATATACTACTGACGTGAATTTTTTCACGTATCTTCAAACTGTTATTCAGGTAGGGGGGAAAGAGACAATTTTTCTTGATTGACAACAATTTTTGGCACATATCATGTACATGCACTCATTGAATCAAAACTCGTTTTATTAAATGATAACACGAGACAAAAAATTAAGGGGAGGGGATGTAGCTTACATTTGATTTCATTTACTACAACTTTGTGGGACTGATTAATACATCAATATCAACAGCCTGTAGTAGTCCACTGCTGAACATAGGGCTCTCCTAGGAAATGAGATTTTGGCCTACTATCTCACGCTGGCCAGACGGGTTGGTATAGGGTCTCTGTCAAGTTTTTGTTCTCTTTGCAGTGCTGTTGTCCTGCGTAGTTTGCTACCTTAGTCGGCTCTTACGACACCCACGGGATGAACAGGGGTGGTGACACTTCATAATCTGTCACCACACGGACATGCCAAATTTTCTAATAAGTACCACCTCTTTGTATACTACAAGGGTTCCTTGTTGACTAAGGAACCCTAAAAACTAGCAAAAAACTTAAGATATGCAATGATATTAGATAGTAATGATATTTACACACACATACAAATATTTATTCAGGATATACTTACTATGCTACTAAGATTAAGTAAAACATTTTCGTTGGGTTTCGTTACTGAGCTTTGGTTGCAGTTAAGTCCATTATTGCTACTGTTACATGTTGTAGATTGTTTTGTATTATCACTTACATCTACATTGGACTCCACAGTGGAGTCTTTTTCCACCACTCTAGTATATTTTTTCCTACTAGTGTTTTGATTCCCTGTAACAAAATAAATAATCAAATTATTATCACAAACCTTTTCAAATAATATAAGCCATCTTTGAAATTTGAAGCTTATTGTTCAAACATCATTATTTTCTTTGAATACTTCAAATATATTTATATTAATTTTAACTACATTATTCTTAAATTACTGGTAATTCAAAAATAACATAGTAACAGAATAACATAGTTATAACTAGTATTTACTGGAAAAATACAATAAGCTACAACTAACAAAGTTAAAATTCATTACTTTATACATAATTTGCAAACTTTTTTAAATATTATGTTTCAGAACCCATTTTTTTTTAAAGGTTAACTATTATTTACTAATTAGATTAAAGAATAGAAACAAACAAGTATATGATGTTTATAACATATCAAACAGATGACTAAACTGACTGATTTGAAAATAATTGTTATATCAGTACCAGGTAAATCTTCCAGTGCAGTGGCTTCCACAGAATTCTCCTTGCTACTAGTCTCCACATGGCTGTAATGCACAATAGATCTGTTCTGCTTACTTTGACACACACAGCCCGCCAGATTTAATGATGCACATACTTCACAAAAACTTTCTTTTGCCCCTACAGATATATTCTGCTTTGAAACACTGTAAACAAAACAATTTATTTAATATTAGGTATGGTATCTCTTTAATTAGTTTCCTATCCACAGTTTGACTGACAAATATTGGCCACACACATTTGTCACAAAACCTGGCGCAAGCTGTTCATTTGCACTGGCTATTATGGAGTTAAGTAAAACCAGAGTTCATTTAGTAGGCAAATTTCCAATTTGGTACAGTACTAGATAAAGTTAGGTTACAGACCATTTTTATCACTATCATAGAATCTGGTAGTAAAAGGGACATGCAGGTGAAGAAAATATATATTTTATGCATTACTAACATTATTGTGCCTAGTGCAAAGTTCTGTAAATGCACCTAATGGAAAGTGTTTTTGATAATAGTGTTTTTGATAATAGATAATAAATCTACATCCATTCTACTCTAGTATGGTTATTTCCACACCCGGTGCCTTGACGACACTGGCAGTTCTCTAGTTAAGACAGTAGTCCTGCCTACGTAATACATCAGTTAAACATAAACATACCTATTATATATATATACATAAAATAAAGTCATGTTAGTCACAAGGTTTTTCATCTGGAAAGGGATAATAAGTATTTAAATATGATATTCATAAAAAAAAAAAACAAATCATCAGTCTAGCCGAGTTCACTGGGTTGGCTAGTTATATTATATAATAATATTGACAAAATCTACATTATTGCTAATGAAACTAGTAAAAAACAAGTTTCGATCCTACTTTTTCCATCCTACCAGTGATTAGTCAAAATACTTACAAGACATGGATAACAACAACTGTATCAGAATATGATGGGTGTTAACAAAGATTGTTTATATCATCATGGTATTTATGCAAGTCCTGGACATTGTCTAAATACTGAGCAACTGCAAAATAGCTAAATTATTTTCATATATAACTATTAATAAGTTTATTTATTTATTTTTGACACACCAACAGTGTGCATATACAACATTGTTCAAAATGCAGTTCAATGTAAAGGATAGTTCTAATATGTTGACCAATTACAGGCATGCACAGTATACATCATTAGATAGACACACATTCAAGCAGTAGCAAGATTAAGACTAAAGTGAATGAAAATCAACAAAAACATAGTACTTATAAATTACACACTGATAAGTTTAAACAATGAAAGTGGTCATGCAAACGATTTCAGTATCATATCTATAAAGGAATAGTGGAAAAGATCTAGTGAGTATATAAATATAAGTTAACGATGAATAATTATATGTCATTGATTATAGGTTATTTACAAAATGATGTTTTTAAATTTCTTTATAGATTTATTTTTTATATTCTGTAATTCTATTGTACAGAAAACTTATAAGTATAAAAGATATTTGGATCATTTCATTCGTTTATGAAATCAATATTTTTATCAGAAATTTTGAGTACCGATTTTCCTACATACACAAATAAATTTAAAATTTATAACCTTAAACTAGCAAAAACACAATTTTAAATAACATAGTGCTTATTTATATTTATGTAGAAAATAATAAATTCATAATTAGAAAAACAAATAAAAACTACATATTACCTTATTCTATCATTGATGTTATCCTGTGAGGATAATTTGTTAATGTCTGCATAATTTATTAATAGCTTAACCACATCCAACAGATTTGAACACTGCAGCATTTTTTTCCGGAGTAAAAAAGGTTTACAAGTTTCCACTGAAATTGTATCACAATGCATGTTAAGTACACTGATTAGTAGAAGTAGAATACTATCTACCCCATTGGAGACAGTTATCTTGGTTGTTTAGAGGGATCCTAGCACTTCGATATCCATTTAAAGCAAGACAGCACAGGCTTTTTGCCATTTATTTTTAAATAATGTTAATTTCCAATTAACAACAATTTTGGTACACTGCTCCCAATAAACCAAATTATAAAAGTACCTGCCCAACAAATGGATCTATATTGTTTAAAACTCTACTAACCATATATTTTTACAGCCCTGTATTCTGCTAAAATATTTTTTAATGATGTCATGAATATCCTGTCATACTCATTTCTAAAGGCATCTAAATAAGGACTCGCTTGCAGAAACTCATCATAGGCTGTCATAAGCTGCTCCTCTGCCAAATATCCTACAACATGAAACAAAGAACATGCGTATCAATCATCCTGTCCGTTATTGGCAATATCGGTATCACTGTTCCCGCCAAACGTTCATCTTACCAAGAACCAATTTAGCCAAATCTTGAGAGGGAAAAGGTGGTATCGTCATTTTGGTAGATGAAAAGACAGCCCACTGTCTTATAATATAAAAATAGCATTGATCTGATTAGAATCATAGAACAAAATTACAAATAAACACTCGCTACTTAATCTAAAAACCAACACAAAACATTTAGAAGACAACGAGTCAGAGTTGCCAGCCTATGATTCGTTTTCCTCATTTATTGTTTTAACTTTTAAATACCCTTTAATTATAGACTCATTAAAAATAAAAATAATTATTTTTAATAACTAAATTAAAACCTTTTTAAATTACGACTTTTCTATTTCGACCTTTCAAAAATTTGAAGTTTTAAATTCGACGACCGGATGGCGTAGTAGTTTGTGTAGCGGACTGCTATTCCAAAGGTCGCGGGTTCGATTCCTGGGTGTTTGTATGTATAATAAGTACGTATTTACAAAAAACAAATGTAATTACATCAGTTTCTAGTAGTCATAGTATAAGCTCTGCTTAGTTTGGGACTAAATTATTCAGACTTAGACGCATGCCAAATGTTAATAGTGCCTTAAAAGTAAACTTTACCTGTTTTATTTTATTATTCGCAAACTGATACGTTTCCGCGTAATAATGAAACCGAATACGTGTGTATAAAGCATTTCCCGGGAACCTATTTTGGTGAGATAACTGTTTAGCTTGATTGATTCCTTGGTACATTATTGAAAATAGGTGAAAATAATTATTATTTGGAAATTCAAACAAAAGTTTTTATTAGTATCATCGGAGCCTAAAGACATCGACTGTTGGACTTAGGCCTCCCCAGAGCTTCGCCACAATAACCTGCCCTCTGCTGCCTGCTTAACGTGACCTACACTAGGCCGTGGGTACTACAGTACCACCTTATGGGCCACCCACTCTTCATCTTCCAGTACTTACTGCCCATGTTTGTTAATACCACTTTAATGTTATTACTGTATATTCTGAGTTTGCCACCACAGGTAACTAGTGTCAATTAAAAGGTCAGGAATAATTTGCGTGGCCTTTATAGCCTAAAAAAAATCTCCCCACGAAAACGAAGAATATGCTAGTACAGACTTTAGTTCTCTCAGTCATAGACTATGGTGATGTGTGTTATCTATACCTGAATGCAGGTGGCCAATTTTCGATCGATCTCACAACTGTCATAAAAGGTTTTATGACAGTTGTGAGATCGAAAGTTCATCCAAACTGAATTGTGACCGGACTTTCATTACGAGAATGAACCTTTTGAACTAAATTAAATAAGAACTTTTATTACGAAAATTGGCCTTCTGATCTGCTTAATAAACTCAACGATTGCATTTGATTCATATTTAACTTGAAAGTATAATCATATATGATCCTATCGTACGCAACTGTTATGGTTACGTATAATACTACGTTGTAGTTAGACGATGTGGTACTACCTTCTCCACTCACCTCACTCACCTACTTATTTAACAAAATACAAATTAATATTAATATAAAACATTAACTTCCAATATCTCTGCTCTAACTACAACAGGAATCTTCGCTCTTCTAATAATCTTCTCTTTCTCTGTCCTTCATATAATTCCAGTATAGTTCATTCTTCTTTCGTGGTCCAAGCTGTAAATCTCTGAAACGCCCTCCCTCTAGAAGTCAGGATGTCCACCAGCCAATTCAACTTTAAGCTCAGAGTACGCAAGCTCAATGGAAACTTGTTGACGGAGTCATTGGAATAATTGATTTTGTATAAAGTTATATTTATGTATATATGTATGTGTATATTTACATATATCTAACATATTTTACTTCACTATTATACTACTACTAATAAAACTCTACTATATAGTACGTTCAAATTGTGTTTATGTATATCTAATGTATCTGTATAGTATAATTTTGTAAAAGAAATTAATTAGTCATTTATCTCATTAGCTTTGATTATAGACCTGCCACGCACAGCTTTGTAACACTCAAAGGTCGACTGGAAGAAAATGCCTATGGCATTAAGTGCCATATATGCAATGTTTTTGCAGGAAGTATTTAATAAATAAATGTTATTACGTGGTATTTCTTATTTTTTTACTATTTACGATTAAATAAGAAATATTAGTGCGTAATGATGTTATAGTTTTTATGAGCATGCCATGCTATGCCACCTTTTAACTTTTAACAACTTAACTTTAACTTTAAACTCCCCAAAATATGGGTAACTTCAAGCCGTTGACACATGCTAGTGTTGTATTTTATTTTTTAGAAACTAACATAAAAATGAAACGCTCAAAATTATCTATTACGTTAAAAACCCAACTTATACGGATGATAGTAATTAGTCGGAAAACGCTGGGCAATGACTTTCAAGGAACTCCCAGGTATTTAAAATATTTTTGTTCGCACATTACAAAAATTCTGGGCAACTTATCATACTTTTTATTAAAAGAAAAATACAAGATTATTTAATTTTTTCATCTTGTTACATTTTCATATTACAGAAAACGTTTACAGTGATATTTACAAAAAATATGTGCTGAAATATGTGAAAATTAAATAAAATTAGTTTATTTCAATTTAACGGGGACCATTCTTTGATATCCAAAAGTAAAACAAATCAAAAACACACTGTCGAACTGAGTCTTTGAGATCTTTTTATTAATTCATTGATTTATTAATATTATTCAACAATTTTCTTCTAAAATTTCTCTGGATTTATTATTAAAATGTATTTTAGTATTTGTACATAGACAGGTAGGTGGTGTAAAACTCGACTAAAAGTGACAGATATTTGATTAGGTACGCGTCACTATCGTTAACGCCATTTTTATTTGCTTGCCAATCTTGCCATTTATTGGAAGCCATTTTTCATCAACAGTTGATAAATTATTGACTTAAACGTTTAATTATTTAAATCCAGTGCGTTCCGTTATTACATTTTATATTTGTATACAGTACTATTTAATACTAATTACAATGAGTAATACAGCTTCTACGCCACTTTTTGCATGTTCTCGTTGTTTTTCAAGACATCCTTTCGAGGAATTATCAACTGGGGAACAACTTTGTAAGGTTCGTAAATTTTTCTAAAGTGAATTAGTGATGGTATAATGCTTCGTGTTTTTAAAGTATTGGTTGTTTTTACTGTTCAAATAGTGAAAATAAATTATGCGTAAATTGTGCTATATTTCAGGAATGTCGTGGCTCATTCCCTGTTGTTAAGTGCACCTATTGCCGTTCTGAGTTTCAACAAACAAGGTCAGTGTCAGCTGCCAAGGTATGTTTACGATACCTTCCTAAATATACTCGGTTTATCTCATAATTTTCTTTAAAAAAGTGTGATGTAGAATCTAAAGTCTTCTGTAGCCCTGTGATACTTATGATTACGTGCATCCCTTTTGAGAAGAGTACAGCCCTGTGATACTTATGATTACGTGCAGCCCTTTTGAGAAGAGTACAGCCCTGTGTATGTAATGACACTACAGTTTCTCAAAACTTTGAGAAATCTTTTTGATCTAACTTATCAAATAGGTCTTAAATTCTCACACAAGCAATATGCTTATTTGTTCTATATATGGTATGATCATAAATTCTTAGTTAAATACAACTTCCAAACAATCCTTATCCAATTCTAAAGGTTGTAATTTGTAGATAGTTTTATTTTTTAGTAAATCTAACACTTCATCAATCTGCAAGAAATGTGAGGCTAACGTAAAGGCATATGGCAAACCTACAGCATGTGAATACTGCAATATCATTGCAGCATTTATTGGTAAGTTCAAATAAGCACATTTAAAATTTACTCATATTTTATTTTACATGTGAAACATCTAGATAAACAGTGATAAACAAATTATAAATAATACACCACTAATGTAATGAAAATATATGTATACTGCTTGTTTTTTAATTTGCATTAATAATTATATTCACTGAGATATTCTGCTTCTGCATCTATACAAAATTTTGATATGGATTGTTTACCAACAAACTGTTTCTTAGCAACCAATAATGAACAAGTGTTAATAACCTATTTGCAAATAATATATTTTTAAAATTATTTAGATTTTTATGCATGTAGAAGTAGGTAATCAATATGGTACTAAAGACAGTTATTATTGACATGACTACTAACCAACAAGTTCACAAAACTTGGGATCTGATGATAATAATAAAGCCCTTTTCTTCCGAATTAGCTACAGATTTTACAATACATATTTCCGAGTTCTATTTGTTATATTATGTCTCGCAATTCGGTGCGCCTCTTGGCATAGGCCTCCTCCAGCTCTCTCCACTGAGCTCTAGGATCTGATGATAAGTTGGTTAAATTATAACATAACAACACAACTAGAACATAGGATAGATTTGTACATGATGGGTACTTAATAATAGTAATACTTTATTGAATTGGAAACTATAAACTAATAAATATCCTCTGAAATCCTTTGAGTCTTTTTTTAAACTACTAAGTTGTGGTCGGCTTTAAGTCTACGATATGTTACGACTGAACTTTGATTTTTTACACTGAGCGACTGCCATCAGACCTCCAAAACCCAAGTACTAGGGAATATCGAAGTTCTGTAGAAAGACTTGTCGGACTTTTTGGGGCTCCAACTATCTGTAACGATTGGCACAGATGTTCCTCTGTCAAACATATTACCAAGAACAAGACTTGTGTCATAAGTTTGTCCTTTTTTTTTTCAAGATATCTTTATTAGAAATATATTACTATACTAGATAAGTCTATAAATCTTTACTAGAAATATAATATGTGATAATATGGGACTTTAAAACGGACACCAAGAACACCCAGACTCAGAACGACAATTTGAGTATCACACTGTCGTCCCATGTGGGGATCGAACCCACTACACAGTGCAGTAGGAAGCGCTTAAACCGCTATGCCATCCTTGTAGACTGAATATCGTTGTTTTTCGAACATCAATACCAAAGTTGAACATTTGGAAGTATCAAAAATGGCCAAATTTTAAAGATCTTTAATTAAAACTGAGGTGTAAAATATATTGATGTTATTTATAAAATCAGATTTTTCACTTCCCTATAGTGTTAGTCTAAATGACTTAGGCCACCGCCATTGTTTGTCAAGTGACAACATGTTATGTTATAAAATAGGTATAAGATGCAGTTATGTATTCTTAGTGTTTAGGGAAAAATCACCAATTCTGGGTTCTAAGAACCAGTCATACTCATGTATATCTATTTTAAACAATGTTTACGACTTATTATTACAATTTATTGTATCAAACAAAAGAAGACACTATACACATATAAAAAAGATAAATTTATACAAAAATCTATAGAACATTTTAATTAATTCACCTTTATTGATGAGAGCCATGACATAAAATATCCTAAATATAATTCATATCCCTTGACTAAATAATTCTTATTACACTCGAATCATTCTTTTTCTTTATGTAAACACAACAAAAAAGATTGCTTTATTTATTTATACAAAAACTTCGTATGCACGGTGCATACAAACACACACAACACATTGCGAAAATAGGACGAAAATGTACATTTGAAATTTAATCAAATATCATTTTAAAAAAAACGTTTTTTTTAAAGGTCTACTAGCAACCGAAATTACTATTATTTTCGTTAACCCCTCCCGTTAAATTGCTTGTCTTAAGAGTGGGTTCACGTCGGTAGTGTACTGGTCAGGATTTGAACCCACGAACTCTTGATCGCAAGTCCAACGCCTTAACAACTAGGCTACCGCCGCTTAAATTTCATCAATTCTAATAATAACTAATAATTCATCAGACATGAATTAAATAGTAAGAATTTGCTGAATGTATTTGTAGTTTATTTGTTTAAAATTTTCGTAATGAGAAATGTTTTTGTAACGAGATTTGTTTAATATCAGGTAACAAGTGCCAACGCTGTGCGAACTCTGAGCGGAAATATGGGCCTGCCGTTACATGTGAGCAGTGCAAACAACGCTGCGCATTTGATCGCCATGATGACAGTAAAAAGGTATTGCATTTTAGAGGTAACCGGCTAATCAATGTACATTATGTGACCGGATGGCGTAGTGGTTTGTGTAACGGACTGCTATTCCAAAGGTCGCGGGTTCGATTCCCGCTCAAGTCAAACATTTGTGTGCATGAACATTTGATGTTTGATTTGGTCTGGGTGTTTCTATGTATAATATGTATGTATTTACAAAAAAAAAGTATATATGTATTTATATCAGTTGTCTAGTACCCATAGTACAAGCTCTGCTTAGTTTGGGACTAGATGGCGTTGTGTGTATGTGGTAGAATATTATGTTATTATATATTATATTGAATCGATTGTTGCAATTATTTTTTAACAGCTACTTGTAATTAAATATTTAAATGAATGTTGCCTACTCCCCACTCTGACGGTAAGTTACAGGCGTCATGGAAATTATTGGTTTTAGTCAGAGCGATTTGACGTGTGATTGTGATTTCGTCATAGACAAAGATAAATGGCATTAAAATCGATCAAAATTCTTTTTATTAAAGATTACGAATTTTTTGTTTAGATTTGACCTTTCGCGAGTCTTGCGCTAGCTAGCTAAAATAATTTTGTAATGTGAAAAAAATGCTGAATTGCTTAACTGTTAAAAAAATATGTGAGACCAGATATTCTTACAGGTCATGGTAACTTTAATAGCAAACTGTAGTCATTTAAATTAGTCGAGTCATCATTGTGTCAATGCTCAACACCTGACTCTTAACTGTGAACAATCTGCTCATCATATCCTCTGGGTGTGTAGTCTGGTATAATGAACGTAATATAATGTTAAATATAAAACAATTGTTTTTTTTTTATGAAGTAAAGATAATTTGAGTTTGAGTAAATAGCTTACATTATACACATTACACATCCGGTATATTGCGGGGATCTTGTGCCAACTAGGTTGAATTTCGTTTGAATTTTAGGCGATTTTGCCATACATATTATAGAAATCAAATACAGCTCATTTAGGACCCATATTATTTCGTGGCCGTGGTGCTTTCTTGTTTAAAAAGGTTTATGCCTATTTTACTTCATTTTGTTGCCCGCTTTGCTAAGGAGTCATCATTAACAGCTTTTAACAGTCCACTGCTGGACATAAGCCTCTCCTTAGAAAGGAGGTTTTGGCCTACTATACCACGCTGGCCAGACGAGTTGGTATAGGGTTTGTGTCAAGTTTTCCTTCTCTCTGCAGTGCTGTTGTTCTGCTTAGTTTTTCCCTTAGTCGGCTCTTACGACACCCACGGGATTAATAGGGGTGGTGACACTGTATTCTTAATCCGTCACCACACGGACCAGGAGTGCCAGCTCCAATTATCTTCTGATTAATTTTGTTGTAGTTTTCAAGACAGTTCTATTATTATCTGGGACTTCCCGAATGTCATAACTCGGTGTGTTCGGTCACTGCTGTTGATCCTGCTGTACAGGAATTACAGTGGTGGGCGTGTGGTACGGATAAGTCCCCTTCCAAAAGAGACCAGATATTATATGTACTTTTAACTTTTTGGGAGTTCGCACAACTTTTCAAATTTTGCTTTCAGTTTTTTCAAGTAAACCGCAAGATATCTGTGCGCGGAAATAAATATCAGACAAAAAAACTTTGTTTTCAAAATCAAAATTTGGGATTTTGGTTTCGATCATAATTAAAACTAGACACTATAGAAGTCCAATTTCAATTGCCATTTGTACATTGATTAAGCGCATACAAGCTGCTTGTGTCGTTATTAACTGTGTCAAGGAGTTTAAACGCTCTCGAAGCAATCACACTAATCATTTTGCGTTAACGTCGTCCTACCACGTCAACCACTCATAATGACGTGAATACTGTGACGTTCGCAATATACTTAAACTTGCACCTCATAGTTTTAAGCAATTTCATTGGTAGAAATAAAATGTCACACAAAATTTAGGCAACAGGAATGCTTGTTCTATATCCATTTTTTGTGGTATAAGTCGGCAAATGATTAGACTGATCACCCGATTGTTTAAGACTACTACCGTCCATGAACATCTTCAATATAGGAGTCACAAGGGCCTTTAAATCTCGCCGGGAATCCGAAGGCCAATTCTGGTAATAAAAGTAAAGTATTACTGAGTAAAGTATTAAACATCCAACGTTGACTGTATTGTGATCGAGGATTGAATCGTTAATCTGCTAGTCTTAGTAATACGTTATTTTTATACTACGAAAATACCTTTTAGGACAGTTGTGAGATCGAAAGTTGATCGGAACAGAATTGAGCCCGAACTCTAATTACAAAAATTAGTCTTCACGGAGAGGTTTTAATGGATGAAAATAATAATAATAAGGTTTTTATTTCGGAAAACAAAGTAACCGTAAAGTGTTAGTATTACATTAAATTATTACTTAATATCTAGTGTTAGTACCTGCTCAGAGTGTTTTATGATCGGCGAGTTAAAACTGTTCCGACTGTCTGTCACTCTTCTCAGCCATGAAGCTGTTTTTTTTTGCACAATATCGCTGAAAACTATGGGTGTGAGCTTGAACAAACATCTCAGATGCACTGCAGTAACGAGGCAGTCCCAACAACATTCTGAAAGCATTAATATAATGGACGCGGAGGATATCCAGCGACTGGAAATAAAATATGCAAGTAGATTGCCAATGTTATTTTCCAGCTGTTTCTTGTTTACGCAAGAATAGAACTGATTCTAAAATTATAATGCCTTTGGTCGACCTTGAAATCCCTACTAACTAACGTAACCACTTAAAAAGTCTGAACTTGCATAAAGTTTTGGGTTTCAACTAACTTAACCTAAAATTAAGGTTGTCTGGAAGAGATCGCTGTGAGCGATAAGACCGCCGATTGTTACGTCTACTTATTTGTAACTCGACTTTTGTTAGTTAAAGTGTATACAATAAATATATAAATAAATAAATTATTTTGTAAATTTAACAAGAAATTACTTTATTGTTACAGGTTGAAGGCAAGTTGCTATGCTGGCTATGTACACAGTCGCTTAAAAGAGCACTCGCCAGAACTAAACAGCATCTCTCTTCTTCTGACAAGCATAAACATCGCGGGCACAAGTAAATATATTTTTTTTCTACTAACCTAATCGTTTGAGACTTTCACAAACAATTTAATAGTTAATTTTATTACAATTTAGTAGACGAAAGAAATGTAAGGTCACGTTCAGAGGATAGTGTTGAACGCGCGTTTTGATCACACGCTTAGACGAAATAACAAAATTCTTGGCAAATTGGCAACTCGTGCTTTCTTAACTTTTTTAAAGATTAATCTTTATATATATAATGGTTCTGTGCGTGTGTATGTGACCGAACCCGATTTTGGTGTTTTTTTTTCCCCTATTTAAGACATGTGTACAGGACAACCTCTGTCGGGTCCGCTAGTGTTTATATATAATATCTGATCCTACATATAAATTATAGACAAGTACTTTACATGTACAATATGAAATACTGAATATTTTTGTATGTTCTATCATTAGTTACCCATTTGCTGATTCATATAATTTAATCCTGTTTTAATGAAGGATGAAGTTCTTTTTGATCAGTTATTTAGAACAGGAATGCTTTCCTTACATCAATATATACATATCAAAGCGTTTATTTATGTATTTTTTATTTATAGTTAGTTAAACAGGTTTCAATTATAACAATTTGCAAACATTCCAGGTCTAAAAGCAGTCACAAAGAGAAACGAAAGTCTGATATGATGAAGTCAATCAACGCTAGTGACTCCTCTCTTAATGATTCACAGCCATTAGAAAAGAAATCCAAGATGAACCCTTTGCAAGGTAAGAAAGGTAAACAAAAGGAAACTTTTATTTTTTTTAAGAAAATGGCTATTTATAAATCTATAAGAATTCTAAGTGTCATGGCTGTATATTTTGAAGTCATGTTTATATATGAAATGTGTTGTACAGAAATGATAAATCCACAAACTGGTAAACCTAAAAAGGCAGTACACTTAATAATTAACTGTATCCATTACGAAAAGTAAATCAGTTAGGGGATTAGGACTTAGCAAATTGAATTCGAGCTATTTCCTACATTCCTCAATCCATCTGTCTATTATAATAATAATAAAAAAGCCCTTTTCTTCCGAATTCGCTACAGCTTTGACAATACATATTGACGAGTTCTATTTGTTATATTATGTCTCGCAATTCGGTGCGCCTCTTGGCATAGGCCTCCTCCAGCTCTCTCCACTGAGCTCTATCCTCTGCTACTCTAGTTCAGTAAGGTCCCAAGGTTAGGCGGATATCGTCTTTCCATCTAGCTTTCGGACGTTCAACAGCTTAGGAGAGAGCGGATCTCTCTGTTTATAGGAAATGGGTCTCCTATTGTTTCCAATTGAATGCGACTTTTAGTATTTTTTGTCTCTGTTTCTTAACTGTCTATGAACCTTTTAAAAAAATACTTTGAATTCCCACCCTAAAGTGCTCAGCTGACGGTAATAGACTTGTCCCTAATCCGTGAGCAGGACTAAAATTTTTAACAGGCAAATGTGAGCATTTAACACATCCCTACCTACTCTTTTGGCCACATAGGCGTGAGTGTTAATAATCATATTTCGAAAGAATTTGCCCATTATAATAAAAAGCTGTTTTTCCTGATAGTTTAGTATCAGTACTTCAGTTTTGGCCAATGTGAATTTGATTGTTATTGCAAAATACTATTCATATGTGATATAAATGAAGTAATTAAATCATAACCATTTGTTGCAGGTGAAGTGGACCCCAACAGTTCTGATCACGTTGTTGCGATGACCCAACTCAAGGAGACTATTGCAAGTTTACAGAAAAAAGTCCAACAGAAAGACAATGAATTACTATCCAAAGACAAATTGGTAAATATTTTACTTTTATAGTGTTACTAGCAATCACACTTCTCGCATATAAAATATTTAAGTAATGGGTCTACCAATAGGGATGACCTGGTTTTGACAGCTCATAGCGGCCATGTTTGATGATGGATCTTTGACGTCCCTTGACATTTGTGTTCAGTAAGGTTTGCCATTTTATCATGTCACATTTCACTTTAAACCAACGCTTGGAACTTCTTTGAAAGTGGCGAAGGAAATCCTGTTACTATGAATGGCGAGCGCTATAACTCGATGTTTACCAAATATTCCTTTCCGGAATTTGATGATATTGATGCAGACGACCTTCATTTTCAACAAGACGGTGCACCACCTCATATTACTCAAGTGAACATGGAATTATTGCGTGGAAAGTTTGGTGAGTCGTTAATTTCAAGAAATGGACCGATCAGTTGGCCACCAAGATCGTGTGATTTAACACCTTTAGACTATTTTCTTCGGGGTTACGTTAAATCTAAAGTGTACAGCCATTATCCAGCTACAATTCGTGACCTAAAAACCAACATTACCGACTGACCGAAATGGTGCACCGCGTCATCGAAAATTGGCGTGAGCGGGTGACCGTCTGCAAAAAGAGCCGCGGCGGTCATTTGGCCGATATATTATTTAAAACATAAATTGCATAAAATTATCTATAAAATAAATCAATCGGATGCATTTTTCATGAAAATTGTGTGGTTTTATTCAATTTTTAAACAGGACGTTCTTATTGGTAGACCCCATACATACTTTTTTTCTATAATTTACCTTTGTCTTTTTCTGTGCCTCTGACAACGGGTATAAAAATACAAACAACAAACAAAATAAAAACAATCACACAAACTTTTATTCAATGATCAGATCATTATCTTCCAAGTTTTATTTTAGTGCACAAAAAGTATTTAAGTCCTTCTCAAGGATAGTTAATATCTATGTAGCAGTCTTGGTGTGATAACATAATAGACATACAGACTTACTTATACATATATACATCTGTCACCTGTATTTATGAATGCGTTTTGATCTTAGATTACAGAATTGAAGGCTCAGCATATGAACAACACGCAAGACATGCGGAACGAGATGAAAAACAAGGACCGCCTGAACGAGACAAAATTTAACTTGATGAACACGAAGATCCAGAACTTGCTGAAGGAGGTGGCGACCCTGAGCAAGTCCGCAAAGAAGAACAAAGGGGGGGGGCGCCAGCCGCCCGGCGCTGGGCGGGGCCGAGCACAGCGGCAGCGGCACCGACAGCCCCAGCACCAACTAGACCCCCCCGGGGCTATTCTTGTGGAGCTGAACTGTGGAAAATATTTCCCTCTTATTTTTTTACTCTACAAATGATTTTATTTGTAGACTTTTTGTATAACGATAAGGATAAGTAGTAGGTTTCGATTTGACGACATCTTAGTTTTAACTTATTAATGCAACATCTGAATTTTACCATTTTAACCGAAGTACATAATAATTTATTGAAAACCGTATATCTAATGTTAGCGTTAGATGTATCGACCGATGCGGGTTTGAAAGGAATTAGGTCTGTTCTGTTCGGTTAACGAAGAGAGATTAAATTGTATTGTATACTGACATTTTGTATTCCATATCTGAACGAGTTTATAAGTCGTATAGCGCATTTTATCATCGTAGGCTTAGGAAGTAAATCACATACAACTTTAGAAATGTTTTATTTTTGTATTTTAGCTATTATATGTTTATTTGTGTATACATTTGTTTTATGTTACGAATAGTCAGCCATCCTGTCCTCGTATTAGTGTTTAATACAGACAGATCAGTTAATAATGACGAAAGTGTGTAGTTAATTAGTAGTGACTTAAATAATATCGTGAAGAAGTCAATAGTAATAATACTATTATTATTTTCATGTTGACTTTTATTATTACTTAATAGATAATAGTGGGTCGGCAACCCACTGCACGGGACAGGTCACAAAAGTACCTATATCCTTTAATTATAAATACTGTTTATGGTCGTTTAAAAAAAAATCTACTAATTTAAATGGTTGAATATATTTTTCTTTAGAATAATCGGGGCTAAGCAGGAACACACATACTTAAATCGAGGCAGTACAACCCCATATAGATCAAAATAATCTATCAATTTTATCCAAACAAAACAATTAAATGGTATAGTACGCGGCATGTAAAAGAGACACTGGAAAAAAGTAGAGGGGGGTGTGTTTGCGCATGAGTACACTCGCACATGAAAACACTAGGCCTATTGCATTTTTAACGAGCCTTTCGCTCGCGGCTTCGTATATTTTTTATTGGTTTGAAAAAGTATGTCAGTTAAAATATCGTTATAAAGAAATAAAATATGTTTGATTCAATGTAGAATGTTTAATTTAAGTAATTACAAAATATTAAAGTAATGTTGAAACTCCTTTCATTAAGTCATCGTGGGTGACGTGAAAACTAGATGAGGACACGGTGTTAGTGCTAGAGGTGGGCATTTCATCGTCGTCGCTGTCAGTCTTTGTGTCAGAATCATCATTCCTAATGTGAATAATAAATGTTTCTGTTATCATGTCGACCACATGATAACAGAAACATTGGCCTCAAGTTTGGCAGTTGGAATCTATTTCCTTTGCCTTGGTACATTGTTTCCCCCAAATGGTCCCAACTTACATTTTGCTGGCGATCACCGATCAGACCGATAAATCGCCTAATGCGCAGCTTGACCGCCAGCATTCTTTTTATATGACGCGACCTGTAACCGGACAATCAAAATAATCTGTCAAATTGTTTTATACGATTATGGTCATTCACACAGAACGAGGTGTATTATAACAAAATTTACAAAAACGACTTTCTCGAAACAATGGTGGTTCGAAACAAACGATGGTTCCGTTTTGTAAAAGTGCCAGGTGTATTTCCAAATATAACGTGAATTGTCTCGTGCAGACGAAGGAGTGAAGTATTGTAAGTGTTACCAAAAATCTTAGTTTAACCGATTCTGCGTTTAACGGCGCGACCTCTTCTAAAGTGATCAAACTCCGGACTGAATAAAATTTGTCATATCAGTGTTAACAATAATTATGATTTAATTATACAATATTAATTATTATTGGTTACTTAAGCTGATTGTGTGTGAAATAAATGAGACACGAAGAATATATTTTCATTGTACATCATTGACAAATTAAAAACTTCAAAAGAAATTAATGTGGGTTTGTTTTATGGATCTCAGATTTCGGCATTTTCTGTTTAAATTGCACTCTCGTTGCATTCGATAAATTTTAATAATGTTAATTACGATTGCAGATGATTAAACATACTTAAAATGTAACCATATAATGGTACAAATTATATAACAGTTTATTAAATAATTGTATAGTTTTTGTGTATTAACGAATAGCAATTTATTAATACACTTTCATATAAATAAAACAATCCGATAAATTAAATAATATAATGTTCATTAAAAAATGTAAAAATTCAATTAATAGTCTGCTACCGAAAATCGATAAAAAATAATAATAAGAATATAAAAAAACACGTACGTCTAGTTGTCTCTGACGCTTTTTCTGTTTTTTTTCTGTATCGTTTAGCGTTATCCCGCTCAAACTAACGATATTGTGACCCAAAGTCGTTAGATAGAAATTGACATTGAGAATAAAAGAAAGTCGCAATAGTTGAGTTTGCAACAACATAATTCTATAAAAATGCAGTAAAATAACCATAAACCGAGTCTGTATTTTACATTTTAATTCTATTAAATGCTATGACGATGTTTCAAAACTTCAAAACAGCACACTACATTCGATTTAAAATGAAAACGCGTATTGTCAGAAAAGTTCTTTCAAAGAGTACAAAGTGTTTATAAACGGCCAAATACGGCCTAGCAGGTTTATATGTATATCTGTGTATAAATTTAGTCGTCGCTCTGTATCGAAGTATAGTCGCCAAAAAATTAAATTATGTCTGAAAGAGTTTTTAGGGGAGCGGCAGCGACGAACGAGTGCTTTAAAAACAATATTTGTGCCTAGGATATTACTGATCGATTTTTTTTGCCACATTTCTCTCGATATAAAAATATCGTGCATATCGTTTGAAGCTTGGTTCTAATAGGAATATTCTGCCCACTCATATTCACGAAAAAGGTATCGCCTGACGGTTCAACCAAGTGGCACCTTGGCGTGTGGCTTGCGTGGATTTGGTCGAATTGTCAAGTAATTCAAAGGTCTTTAATAACGATAACGTAGTCTTTTTTTTTTTCTACAAATGTTAATTTAATGCATAGAAACACGACAAGCTAATAAAAAGTATGTAATACAAGTCTGTGATGGCGTGATATAATACACATTTTCAGTTATTATACGGTGTGATATTGTCGAATATTATATGTAAGACCAAACCATTTATCAATTGAAATTGTTATTCTCATATTTGGTCACGTGAGTCTCTCGTTTAAGAATAATTTGTAATTGTAATATAAACCAGAAAAAAAGATGCTCGAACACAATTATGATAAAATAGTCTTCTTGATGCTGTGGAACAAATATTCCAATAGAATTAAACCTGAGAAAACATACCTGTTAGTAAAAAAAATAATGAAATAAAGTGTAAATCCGTATAAGATTTTTTATTTCGTGAAACCAAAAAAAAAATATATTTTAGATAGTGGTTTAAACATTGCTAATTTTTGTACGTGGGAGGGCCACTTTTCAGCACAAATAGGCCGGCTCGACCGGAGTGATACCAAATTCTAGTGGGAGGCATTGAGTTAAAACAACACTAGAGAAGCAAACCTCATTATCACACGTCGAAAAAAGTGTAACCACTTTTGAACTTTTGACGACGTAGCTTTGATACCACTAAACATTTGAAAGTAAACATATTTATGTCTCATTTACACGCGAGACAAGAACAATACCATCGCTCGGATTAGACAAAGTCAAAGACAAAGACATAATTTTACGATGGTGGGCCAGTGTTGACTACCGTATGAAATTTTACCCATAACAACTAAGAAACAATTTTTTTTTAAAACAATTTTGTAACGCGCTTCTTTCTTTTGCCTTTAGCGCATTGAGGGTGCCGTCTAAGTCTCTGCCGGGTAATATGACGTCTAAGGTAAAGGCGAATATCAACTCCTCGGGCTTTTACCAGTTTGAAGATGAGTGTGACGGCGCGCCAACGAATCGCAGGTCGTGTTCAATACAAAAAACTATTGAAAATAAGGTATTTGAGGGAGACCTAAGGGGAGCCGTCCGCCTGTTGATGTCGAACGACAAATTTGCTCAGGGGGGTTCTGAGACCCTGGCTGCCTTGAAGCTTAAGCACGCCGGCCCGTCGCGCCCACTCAAGCCCCCGCCAGCGCCGGATGCGTCATGCGCATTCGTTACCGCTACACCAGAGGATGTAGCTCAGGCGCTAAACTCTTTTTATAGTGGTTCTGCGGCGGGTTTGGACGGCATTCGTCCGGGGCACCTAAAGGAACTCACTTCTAGGGCGGCGGGCGAAAACGGGCAACGTTTAATGGGTAGTCTGGCCAAGCTGTGTAACTTCTTACTTAGCGGTCAGTTAAACCCTGAAGTGTGTCCTTTTATGTATGGGGCTTCGCTTTGTGCCTTAAATAAGAAGGATGGAGGACTCAGGCCGATAGCTGTCGGCAGCGTTTTCCGCCGTTTGACTGCTAAGCTGGCCTGTTGTTCAGTCAGGGAGGAAATGGCCGAGTATCTACAACCGCACCAGTTAGGCTTTGGCACGCGTCGAGGTTGCGAGGCGGCTATCCATGCCACACGGACATACGTGATGGACCCTAAAAACTCTCGTTGCGTCGTGTTGAAGCTTGATATCCGCAACGCTTTTAATACCTTGGAAAGGGATGTTCTGTTAAGCGCAGTTAAGGATGAAATTCCTTCCCTCTATCCTTTCCTTCACCAAGTCTATAAATCTCCTTCGAACCTCTTTTACAATAAGGATCTTATTCTTTCGCAAGTGGGAGCTCAGCAGGGAGATCCACTTGGGCCACTCGTCTTTAGCCTTGCCATCCACAAAATCATTTCCAAGCTGGAGTCACCCCTAAACCTGTGGTACCTAGATGACGGTACTATTGGCGGACAGCCTGAGGTGGTGGCGAAAGACATTATGGTTTTGATCCCACGCCTCAAGGAGCTAGGTTTGGAGGTGAATCCAGTGAAGTGCGAGTTTTTCCCCTGCAGTACTGAAGCTCGCACACACTTTACACACTTTGAAATGTTCTTTCCTGGCCTCAGCGAGATCACACCAGGTACCTTCAGCCTATTGGGCTCTCCCATTTTCCTTGAGGCAGTCCCTGAGGCCATTGCTGCCCGTCAAAATCTTCTCCTTGCCACTCGGGAA